CCCAAGCTTCAACCTTTAAGGGTTCAAGGCCTCCCTGAAAGGATGACGGTTTCATTTTGCTGAACTTTTGGGTGAGAGCAATTATATCCCTATCATGAACATTCAATTCCGGCTGTACCGGAGGAGGAGGTGGGGGCTGTTGGTTCTGCTGTTGTTCTAGTCTTGCGGTTAATAGTTCCACCATTCTTTCCAACCTCGTCATTCTTGCCTCAGAGGATTCAGTTTCATTAGCAGTGCTTGCATTATCCATTTCACTATATGCAACATTATAATAATAAACATAGGAAGTTGCATACTTTAAACATTTAAACATAAGCAGTTATATGTTTCAACACATTAACACATATACATGTCATGTCCACACACACTTTTCATGCTCATGTGATGCCCTAATTGCTTTCCTAGGACACCCTATAGCTCATTTGGACACGTGTGTGCGGTATAACTCATGATTAAGTATCGCTCTGATACCACTCTATCAGGACCCAAACCCGCCCCTATGGGTTTAGCACCGTAACCGGCCAGTAATCCGAGATTACCGAAGGCCTGCTTAACAGTAAGACAGTAATACAGAGTACAGGGGTATGACGGAGGCCAAAACAGTAAATAAACAGTGTCCAATGAGCTGTGACAGTCTGAATGCAAAAAGATTTTTCATACGTATATATATGAACGATACAGAACATTTTGTACAACATTTACAGTCGATTAGAACAGGGACCTAATCCCTGTTAGACAGTACAGTACAGTGCTATCAGTCTATACAGTTATTACAAAACAGATGCAAAGACAGACGGGGGAAATTAAAACACCCCTAAGCCATAGCTTGACAGGCTCGGAACCTCGCAGTAAGGCACAGTGGTTGGCTTGACAAAAAGGGAGTCTAACCCACGCTCCTAGCTTTGGTCTGGTGCCTGTACACCTACATATATATATAAACAGTGAGCTAAAGCCCAGTGAATAACATAATGCGTAAAGAGGTTAAGAATGAATGTCCTTACAGTAATGAAATAGTTCATTAAATCAGTATTTCAATCGTTCAGTCGTAACAGTCATATGTGGTACATCCATTAGCATAGCAGTACAGTAAACAGTAGGTCTTAAAAGACCGAGCAGTCAATGATGGCCATCATAACAGTGGTTCCACATGGGAACCGACAGAGATCTCTGTAACAGTAGCAGTAACAGTAAACAGTAGTTGCTATGGATGCCACAATACAGTTCAGAATAGAGGACATACATTCATTCAGTTAACAGTAACAGTTCAGAAAGCAGTTCAGTTAACAGTCAGAAAATATTCATCTTTGAACATATCTTTACACAATTGTTACTCACAGAGTTCTGGGCTATAGTTAAGCTAGAGCGCGTCTCCAGTCGCCAACCCTACACAGTTTACAGGATGAACACACACTAAGTTCATATTCGAGAAACAAAGACTTAGTCCCTACTTTGCCTCGGTGTGGTTCTACATCTATATCCTCATTAAGATGCCTTAAACTAGGCCTAAGAATGCCTAGGATGAAATGAGGATGCAAAGATGCACTTTAAAAGCATTTTCAGAAAACAGGGGTCACGCTCGAGCGTAGGTTACTCCGCTCGAGCGGACATGCAGACAAAGGTTTCCGCTCGAGTGTAGACTTACCCGCTCGAGCGTTCTATAAAACAGTCAAAAGTGCTGGATAGGTGAAATTCACTCTCGATTAGGCGCTCGACACCCGCTCGAGCGTAATACACAAGGTCCCGCTCAAGCGTAAATTACCCCGCTCGAGCTGACTTAAAAGCAGATCGAGTGCCAGTCACCACGCTCGAGCGTGAGTTCAAAATCTGGAATTCCCAGATTTGAACCTCAAGCTCAAATTCAACTTTAGATGCATCAAAACCATACTTTTTGGGCCAATTTTCCAGAAAACATTCCAAAACTGAAAGTTTAAGATGATTCAAAACTCAAATGTAAAATCAAAGCCCCAAAGGAAGATCAATTGAGCCCAAATTGAAACTAAATTTCATGAATATGAAGAACATGCAAACATGCATGAATTTAACCAATTCAAAGCTTCCAACACTTGCTCTAATGAGCCAGTTCTTACAAAATTAAGATGAAATCATGGTCTACTCTCAAAACATGGACATACATGTGAGGAATTATGAACTACAACCTCATAACTTCAATATATATATACATGCATGCAACAATTAAGCTTCAACACAACAATTTGAGCCATAAATTGGCTCTAGTCTTCAACTTTGCTCTAAACCATACAAGAAACAATTTAAACACAAGAATGAGAAGATGAATTTCTACCTTAAGTCTTGAATTATAAGCAAGGAAGCTCAATTTTGCAATTCACTCCTTAATTTCCTTAATCTTCAAGCCAAATTGAGATGAAATGAAGCTATCTCTCTATACTCTCTCTCTCTAGTCGGCAACAACAACGAAATTGGCTGACGAAATGTTTTGTTTGAAGGTAATAAGGCTCAAGTATAGTCTTAGGTAGTGGCTCACTAGTGGTGGCAAAAAGGTAATTAAGTCAATTGGTGTAATTTATCAACGTTTAATCTAATTTAAGCATACCAAATCACATTTCGGATAAATACACCATAAAATCACATAAATTCTAATGATCATAAATCATCAATCAATTTCGGATTCGGCCGCCGATAAGGCCTTCAATTTGCAGTTTGAAGCATAAAACATGAACAGATAATTTGGCAGACAAACAGATAGAGTTACAATTTAACTAATATACCCAATCAATTCGGTTTCAGTTTTCAGTCAGTCAGTCAATTAACATATTTAGCCTCAGTTTAACAATAATCAATGGCTTAACAGTAAACAGTGGTGAGGGTTATTACACTTCGAAATGTGCAAATCCGAGTTTAGAGAGATCTGAAGAACACGTCCTTCTTGCAGAAGATAAGGTTTTGACAACAGCCTTCCGATGGTGAAGGCTAGGGTTTCATCGCTCAGATTTGAAATTGAGGTGGCGATAGCAGAGTTGATAAGAGAGAGAGAGAGAGAGAGAGAGAGAGAGAGAGAGAGAGAAAAAAAGGAGAGAGAAATATGAGGAGAGCGAGAGAGGGGGTTCGAATCCAAGAGGGGGGGAGTGGCAAATTGCCTTTGACCTTTGCGATCTGAGACAAACCTTCGAACCTCTTTGCTTGATCTCTACCAAAGCTTTCATAGTAGGGAAGTTGATGATGATAAATGATCGATTTCATAGAGGAACGATGAGTCCGATCAATTTCAGAAAGGAACGATTGCGAGTCTGATCGATTTTAGAGAGGAATGACCCTGCCAAAGGAGTTGACGATGAAGAGCTACAAATCTCCGATAGTAGAGGCCACGGCGGCGACGGAGGACCTGTGAATCTATGAGAGAGATGAGAGAGAGAGAGAGAGAGAGAGAGAGAGAGTGAGGTGAGGGTTTCTATTTTTTTATTTTTTTGTGAGCAAAGAGAAAGATATGGTTGAAAATGAAGCTTCGTTTCGATGAAATCAAAGATTTGAGACCTTTTATATTGGGTTAATAAAAAACGGCATCGTTTTGGGTAGGTTTTAGTACCAAAAATAGCTTTCTCCGTTACTTCATGAAACGGAGATGGACAAAGGGCTTACATTGTAACAAGGAATAAACTACAGAATTTTAATTGTCAAAATTAAAAACTTGAGGTTTAAATTGCAAAACACATGAAACCTTGGAAGTTTTTTTTGTAATCTGTCCCCGTTTTAATATGGCCAATATTATAGGGTGTTTTAAGAAGTTGGCTAAAAGTTAATTTTTTGATTTTTTTAATTTATTTTGTCTTTTTATAAATAAATTATATGAGAGATGATGAAATCTAAAATGAATTAAAAGTTAAAAATTAACCTTTAACCACTTTTTCAAAAGAACACTAAAATATTATAAAATAAGATGGTCCAAAATCCACAATATAATGACTTTACAATTATTACATTGAATTTTTTTCTACTTTTGTCAAATCAATATTTTTTTTCCATGGAATTTTTTAAAACACTGCAACTGGTCCGAAACCCCAATCCCACTCTCGTGACTCCATCGCTTTCTTGACCCTTCACGGGTATATTTTCATACTAGGAGTGAGCAGTATATCGATCTGTTTAAATTTATTAAACCAAATTGATTCGCCACATTTTGGATGAATACGTGGTGATAAACGAATAATTATGGATTGATTTTTTTTTAATTTACTTAGTTTTGAACGGATGACAGATTTGAGATTCCTTTAGCCGCATCCAAACTATCAAACCGCAAGCACCCCTAATAATTTGTAAAACTTTGTATTTTCAATTTGTTTAAATATTCTGTTTGTATTTTTAATTGAAAAAGAGTTTAAGTATTCTGTTAAATATATTTTGTTGAAAAAGAGTTTTCAATTTGAATATATAAGTATATTTTTTGAATTGAGAAAAATAAATGCATTATTTATCTATATTTTTAAATTTTTAAATCTAACTCTAAAAATAATAAATAAAAATGATGATATAGGCTGGTTGGTTTTTATTTTCAAAAACAGATATAGGTGTAACAATACAGAGGTATACAATCTCTACTACTACTTTGTTCATGGTTTTGGTAGTTTGAATTGTTTTTATATTTTAGGAACCACAGATTGTAATACATTATGTGGACGAGACATGCTGTGATTATAATATGTGAATGAGGCATGCAGTGATTGTAATATTCTAAAATTTCAAACTTCTTTCTTTGGATGAGACATGTAGTGATTGTAGTACTTTTGTAAGTTATTGACTGTAATTTTTTTTTTTTTTTTAAGAAAGTGCACAATTTGAATTGTGTTAAAAATTTATAAAATTTTAAACCTCCAAACCTATTCGTATCTATCGCCAATCCACTTAATCCATATCCGCCGAATTGACAGACAGATACGGATTGATTTTCTCTAATCCGCTAATCTGGCGAACGGCGTGTGAATTAGAGGTTCATAGCCGCAATCGACCCGCACCCACCCTTAATTCGTACATAGTCTTGAACGTTCCTCTTCAATTTAACCCAAATAATACTACACTATTATTGTATATATATATGTGAAGGTGATTGGATTTACAGGCTAAGTTGGGTTTGAATTGGAGAGTTCAACATGGGTTTTCTGGGTTTTTCATGTTGCTCTGCAATTGCTATACTGGGTTTGTTGCTGAATGCTGTAGTTTTCTGCAAAGGAGGAACCACAAGTGCTTTTGTGAGACCAGTTGAGAAATCTGTTGATATGCCTCTTGACAGTGATGTCTTCCTTCCGCCCCGAGGATATAATGCGCCTCAGCAGGTCTGAGTTCTTTTTCTTTGTTCTTCTTATTAGTTCCTCTGTCACAATTTGAATTTGTAATGCTTTTTTTTTTTTTTGAAGTATCTGTTAAGGTTTTGTAATTTTTCTGGGTCTCAATCTCAGTTCTTGCTCAAAATTTTAATTAGATATGAGTAAAAATTTGAGTAAAAGCTCCAATGGGAAACTTGGTAAAAATTTGAGTAACGAAGCTCTTCAATGACAAATTCAATTTGTGATATGAGAGGGTTAAAAGAGAATTGTTATGTCATCATTTTTAATAGTTGGTTTTGGGTTTTGGTTCGGCTAAATAATTGGATAAAACTGAATTTGATATGGGTTTTGAGTCAAAGAGAGGAGAGGTATTTTGAGTGATTTTTTTGCTCAAATTTAATTTTCAGTTAAGTGTGTTTGGATATTGGATTTGGGTAAGTATTTGTGGAGTAAAAACAAAAATGTCCAAATCTAATATCCAAACACGAGTAAGGGTCAAAGATGCATATGAGAAAAACTGGTTCTAATCTTTAATTTTGGACCATTTCAAGCCTTCTTAATTCAGAATTTTGCTTTTCTTGTTGATAAATTAAATGGGCTGTTTTCTTTCCTATTTAATAACTTGTTTTTGGATTTTTATTTTTATTTTTTTATTTTTTTATTTTTTTTGCATTTATATATTTTGACTTGTGGGTCATATGTAATTAGCTTCATATCACACAAGGAGATCATGTGGGCAAAGCTGTGATAGTGTCATGGATCACCATGGAGGAAGCTGGTTCAAGGACAGTCCTTTATTGGAGTGAGAATAGCAAAACAAAAATGCTTTAGAGCTCTAATATAGGAGCTCTGATAGCTCTAATGGGAAGGTGGATCCCATCCTGATGTGATGTTTATGCCTTGTTTTGTTTTTTTTTTTTTTTTTGACACATCATTAGAGCTCAAATTAGAGCTCTATATTTAGAGCTCTCTATCATTTCCCATAGCAAAAAGAAGAACAAGGCCAAGGGCATTGTAGGTAGATTTAAATTCTACAACTATACTTCTGGTCACATCCATCACTGCACCATCAAGAACTTGCAAGTGAGTTTCAACCATTTTGATCCTCTTGTTTCATCTGTTGAAACAATCTTTTGTGTAATAAAATATATTGAAATAAATTCAAATAAAATAAATAAATAACATACCGGATTTATTTATCGAACCGAATTAAAATTAAGACCAAGTCGAGTGTGTGACACTCTGTCCTTAAGACAGATTCGCCCCGCTACGGTGCTTGCGGTTGAGTGGTGTCTATCTCTCAGGATACAATGATCTTCACAAACTTGTAGCAGCACTCCACACAAATTTGTATGGCGAACTAGAACCTTGTGTTCTTATACTCTCTTAATTTTAATTCTAAAATTAGAATGTAGAGAAATGCAAACAAAAATAGTTTGGACAGCAAATAGGAAGTTGGAGACTGAATTTTTTCAGATCTGTGGACTGCTGGAAAAGGATCAATATATATAGGCAACTTCATGCCTGTTAGGACAGCTCGAACAGGTATAAACAGTGGTCAACAAGTGCCACCTGATTTGAATTCAACATATTCGAATTTGTTTAAACAATTCAAAAAAGAATCCGTTTGAGACAAAGTCAAAGCAACTGTTAAACTATTTGAATAGTTTAAACACTTTCTTTTTCAAATTGATTACCGTTGGTGGACCAAGTCAAACCTGTTGGAGCATTATATATTTAAACTATCTCAAATATATATATATATATATTAAACTAATTGAATATATACATATATATTAAACTATTGAAATAGTTAAATAAGAAAATAAAGAGGTACAAACTTTAGGAAACTTCTTAGAAACCTAAAATTTGAATTTAGAATTAAATTAAATTCCCACAATTACAAATTTTAGGAAACCACTTAGGAACCCAAAAATTTGAATTTAGAATTAAATTAAATTTTCACAATAATTTTTATTAAAAAATCCAAATGAATTTTATCTAAAAAATTAATGTTAGACCCGAAAACGACGTCAACTTCCCATTCACTCATAAATGGTTTTGACGTTCCGTCTTCACCGTGTGACTTGCCACGCGGCAAGGAACACGTCACCTCTTCGGACCCACCCCAAAAGACGTTTGGGGCCCACTCAACTTGGGCTAAAAAATATGCCTATATTAAACCTTTTTTTTCCAACAATCCCCCGCATGAATGGAATTTGACGGAGAGAAAATGCAACAACACGATCTAATTACAGAGAGTACAGAAATTGAAAATATTCTACAAAGGATAGGTAGCTGTTGGCTTTGAACCTTCCCTTATGAGACACTATCGGATTTACTAGCTAACCAGTGAACATGATGTCTTGAACTGTTTAGCCGTTTGTGTAAACCAAGACAATAGAACTCACATAGTATATTCCCAAACACAGTTTAGTTCTCACTATTGTGTTCATTTTGGCCCTGAACAACCTGGTCTTTCATAAGTGTTCTAGAGAATTGTAGCCCTTCACAAATCTCATAGAATCGGCCCAGTTCACACTTACATAGGTGATTCTTATGAAGAGTATCCTGCCATACTCCACTAGGTTTACCTAGATATAAGAATCATTAAAATTTTACTTAACCTTTAATGCTGCAGACATCACTATTTCATCAAAGAAATGGGTAGGAGTTAGACTCCCCAGTGATCCTTCTGAGTCAATCACAACTCGGTTGTCCCTTTGAACCTAGATCTTGGGATCTCCAGTAAACTAGGTTGGGTTACCGTTATGGTAACTCTTATTTAATAGGCTTAAGTCCTATTCCACTCGATGAATTTTCAACTAACTCTCTTGCTAACCCTTTGGTTAGTGGATCCGCTACGTTGTCTTTAGACTTAACATATTCTATGAAAATAATTCCATTAGAGAGTAGTTGTCTCACGGTGTTATGTCGACGACGAATGTGTCGTGACTTACCGTTATACATATGACTCTGTGCTCTACCTATTGCTGATTGACTATCGTAATGTATGCATATAGCAGGCACCGATTTTGGCCATATTGGAATATTTTCAAAGAAGTAGCGAAGCCATTCTGCCTCTTCCCCAGCTTTGTCTAAAGCTATAAATTCTGATTCCATAGTAGATCTAGCAATACAAGTCTGTTTGGAAGATTTCCAAGATACAGCCGCACTACCAAGAGTAAAGACATACCCACTGGTGGACTTCGAGTCTTTAGTATCCGATGTCCAATTTGCATCACAATATCCTTCAAGTACTACTGGATATCTAGTATAATTAAGTCCAATGTTACGAGTAAATCGGAGATATCTTAGAACCCTTATCATTACTTTCCAGTGTTCTACTCCCGGATTACTCGTATACATACTTAATTTACTTACTGCATAAGCTATATCCGAGCGAGTGCAGTTCATCAAGTACATTAAGCTTCCAATAATTTGGGCATACTCTAATTGATAAATACTTTCTTGTACATTCTTAGAAAGATACAAATTAACATCTACAAGTGTTCTAACAAGATGATTATCATCTTTGCTAAATTTGTCAAGTATTTTCTCAATGTAATGAGATTGTGACAAAGCATATCCTTCTGATGTTTTGGTAATTTTCATACCAAAAATTAAATCAGCAATGCCCATATCCTTCATGTCAAAATGTTTATTCAACATTTTCTTGGTAGTTTTAATCATGTCGTTATTACTACCTATGATGAGCATATCATCTACATAAAGACATACAATGACATAACCTTTGTCCGTGTTTTTAATATAAACACATTTGTCACACTCATTAATTTTAAATCCATTTGACATCATTGCCTTGACAAATTTCTCATGCCATTGCTTTGGCGCTTGTTTTAAACCATATAATGATTTAATCAATTTACACATTTTCTTTTCTTTCCCTGGAGCAGAAAACCCTTCTGCTTGTTCCATGTAAATTTTTTCATTTAACTCACCATTTAAGAAAGCGATTTTAACATCCATTTGATGAATTTCTAGATTGTATAGAGATGCAATGGCAATTAGCATTCTAATGGATGTTATTCTAGTAACCGGTGAGTATGTGTCAAAGTAATCTAGACCTTCTTTCTGTCTAAAACCTTTGACTACAAGTCTTGCCTTATATTTGTCTATTGATCCATCCGCTTTCAATTTTCTTTTGAAAATCCACTTGTACTCAAGAGTTTTACAACCTGGTGACAAATCCACCAATTCTTAAGTGTGATTTTGCAAGATGGATTCAACTTCACTGTTAACAGCTTCTTTCCATAAAGGAACTTTAGGACTGGACATAGCCTCTTTAAAAGTTAAAGGCTCATTTTCTAACAAAAATGTTAAAAAATCTGGACCAAAAGATTTTGAGGTTCTAGCACGTTTGCTACACCTAGGTTCTTCTTCCTCATTTTGGTCTAACTCTTGCTCTTGATCATGTTCTTGATCATTACTAGTAATAGCATCAAAATATCTCTTATTATTACTAGTCTCTTGTCCAGTCTTATTTGGAAATACATGTTCAAAGAATGATGCATTCCGAGACTCAATAATAGTATTTACATGCATTTCAGAATGTTCTAATTTATGAATCAAAAACCGATATGCACTACTATTCTTGGCATAACCAATGAAAATGCAATCAATGGTCTTAGGACCTATCTTAGTCTTTTTAGGACTAGGAATAGCCACTTTAGCCAAACACCCTCACACTTTTAAGTATTTGTAGGATGGTACTCTTCTATGCCACAATTCGTAAGGTGTTTGATTCACTTTCTTTCGGGATACTTTATTAAATATATAATTAGCAGAAAGTATTGCTTCCCCCCACAAGTTCTGAGATAATCTAGAACTAATTAATATGGCATTCATCATTTCTTTTAAAGTCCTATTTTTCCTTTCAGCAATTCCATTTTGCTGAGGTGAGTAAGGAGCGGTGGTTTGATGAATTATTCCATGTTCTTTACAAAACTCACCAAAAGGTGATTTATATTCACCACCTCTATTACTTTTAAGTTTCTTGATTTTCTTACCAAGTTGATTTTCAACTTCATTCTTATATTGAATGAAAGTTTCCAAAGTTTCATCCTTGGTTCGAATTCAATAAACATAACTATATCTAGTATAGTCATCTATAAAAGTGATAAAATACTTTTTCCCACCTCTAGTTTGAATTGATTTAAAATCACAAATGTCACTATGAATTAATTCAAGTAGTTTCGTACTTCTTTCAATTGAATGAAAATGAGTTTTAGATAATTTTGCCTCAACACAAATTTCACATTTATGATTTAAATCAATGTCAAATTTAGGTAAACATTCCATATTAATTAATCTACGTAAAGATCCATAATTAACATGTCCTAGTCTATCATGCCATAAATTTGAAGACTCAAGCAAGTAAGAAGAAGATGTAGTATTATTAATAACTGAGAGTACAAAGGTCATTACATTTAATTTGAAAAGGCCATCAGACATGTAACATTTTCCTATATACATCTCGTTTTTGGTAAGTACAAACTTGTCACTTTCAAAAACTAGCCTAAACTCATTCTTACTCAACAAAGATCCAGAAACTAAATTCTTGCGAATGTCCGGTACATGCAGCACATTGTTAAGAGTGAGTTCCTTTCCAGATGTCATCTTAAGTACAATCTTTCCTTGTCCTTCAACTTTGGAAGTTGAGGAGTTGCCCATAAAGAGTTGTTCACCATACAGATGTAACATTTGCCATTAAACTTGTACTTTTTATTTTTCCCCCCTTTAGAGCCTTGTGACGAACTTTTTCCAGAAAACTTTCGTTTCTTGGCTTTTGAAGCATGTTCCACCACATTTGCCTTAGAATTCATAGGATGCTTACCAGCCCGCTTTTCAGAATTGCAGTTGTCCTCATCAATTCTCAAACGCACAATTAATTCGTCCATAGAAATTTCTTTGCGCTTGTGTTTGAGATAGTTCTTGAATTCCTTCCAGCCTTTTGGTAATTTTTCAATTAAGGCTGCAACTTGGAAGGATTCACTGAGAGATATACCTTCTGTGTGAATGTCATGCAGAATGAGTTGGAAATCTTGAGTTTGGCTGATCACAATTTTTGAATCAACCATTACAAAATCCAGGAATCTGCCAACCACAAATTTCTTTGAGCCGGCATCTTCCGTTTTGTACTTTTTCTCCAACGATTCCCAAA